TGACAGGATTTTGGCTTCAGGTGGGGGCAGGGGGCTCGTCTTCCCTCATAAGTCATTTTCGTGATGACCAAAGGGGGCCCCCAGATGGATGTGACTCACTCCCAAGAGCACCAACTTGTAAGTGGCAAAGCCCACACGTTTTTATAGCTGTAAATCCCGTCGATGGTACAGCGAGGTGTATTAAATACTACAGGATCTAGAGTTGGTAGACGTGGATCTACCACTGAAATACAGACCTTGTGTTACCGGCCCCAGTATCTTCATGCGTTAAAGGGAAACAGACAATCTGGGAGGTGAGGATTGCGCGTGATTTTATTATCCGCGCTTCATAAACAGGAAATCCCACACGAATATTACATGATTTACACTGGTGTTTATCGATGATAACTGTGGCTGAGATGTGGTACACATGCAGTGGATGTCCTGAATTCTAACTGCTCTGTCTCGGAGGTAGATGTCACCAGGAGGACACGGGAGTCCACGGAAGGCCTCGGGGGGTGATCAGTTCTGCAAGGTGGGGGCAGGATTCTTCTAAGCGCTCCGATTTGGAAGGCCGCACGGGCCACTTCTCACGTGACTCCACCCACACCCGACTTCCCCTGCTGACAAAAGGCTGACACACCTGGTTCACGAACAGGTTCGCGCTAATGTGCTCACAAAGGAAAACTCAGGACCCACTTCACTGGGACCTTCGGCCCACAGCTGATTTATTATGCGGACTGCGTAAAACTCGGTCTTCAATATGGTCTAAGTGAATGAAATTATTGGGCTTTCACAAGTAAGTTTATAATTTCTCACCAAAGAGCTAGCCTTGCCATTCCTTTAATCTACTGACATGTGCTACCGGGGATTATTTACACAGGCAGCTTTCGGACCGAAGGACACATGGACACGTCACGGGGAAGGTGTTAATTACTTAACCTGCTGAATAGTAGTGATACCACCAGAAGTCGCAAGAATTTAGACCGTTAAAAACTGCGTGACAGGCTGCTGATAAAAATGTCCCAGTGATATTTTTTGTGGAGCATAAACAGAAAATGGCCAAAAGCTGTGCCCTTAAGGAGTCTCATTTTTACACAACTGTCAATGCAGCAATTATTTTGTCTTTATTTAAGGTAAAGAAACATATTCTAGGGCTTTATAAAAAAAAGTTTTGAAACCTGTTTAAATTTTCTCTTTCTTAAAAAGAAATATTTCTTTCTTTCTTTTTTTTTTTTTTTTAGGTAAAATGCCCTGAGTTCCTGAGGAAACAGGGCGGGGGCGGGGGCTGCCGAAACCACGTGCTGTAAGGCCAGGTTTTCCAGGGCCGTGGCTGGCGCTGAACCCCGGCATTCATGTCACGCTCAGCAGCCGTGGCTCACAATCAAAACCATTTGATCATAAAGCTGACGCTCCTATAGCCAGGCAGGTTCCTGCACCATGTGGGCTCTAAGAAAGCATAATTACAAACAAAGAAGGACAAGAAGCAGGCGTGGACTCAATATAGCTCTCCTCTCAAAGGGCACGCAGCTTTTCCCAAAGGCTGTCACCGGTCCCTACCAACCCCCACATTACAGCACAGGTCACCAAAAGGTTCAGTGGCCGGACCAAGGCCACGTGCTGTCACTGGCTCACAATGATCCCTGGATGAGATGCATGCGATTGATCCTTCACCAATTTTTGAGGACCAGCTATGTGTGAGTGTTGGAATTACACGGCAGAGACCTGGCCTCCGATCTAGAAGATCCATGGCCTAGACAGGCGGCGTGTGGAAGCGATCAGAGTCAGGAGCAACGATCGGCAGCACTGGGCTCCAGAACCTGCCGCATTCGCTTTTTCTCACACTGAGAAGAGCATCTAGTCTTCAGGGAGCACGAGGAAGCCTCGCCAGGCCAGGCCTTGTGCCAAATGGGGTGGACAGGGGGATGGTAGCATTGTCTTTTACATCCATTATTTTTCTATTGCTGTATAACAAATTACCATAAACTTAATGGCATAAAACAATAAACAACCAATTTACTGTCTTGAAGTCTCTGTGCAGGTCCAGAGATGGGTGTGTGGGGTCCTCTGCTCACGGCCTCCCCAGGCTGAAATTAGGGGTCAGCCAAGGGAACCGTTCTCATCCGGTGCTCAGGGTCTCTTCCAGGCTCATGTGGCTGTTGGCAGGGTTCATTTTCTTGTGTTCCTGCAACCAAATTTCTCACCGTCTTACTAGCTATGGACTGGGAGCTGTCCTCGGCTCCTGGAGGCCACCGACAAGCCCTTGTGGCATGGCCCCCACAGGCTGCTCTCAGCACGGCTGCTTGTTTTCTTCTAGGCCAGCAGAGGCTCATCGCTCTGAAATGTTCCCTTTGTTTCAAGGTTTGCCTGATTAGGCCAGGCCCACCCAGGAGACTTCCCCATTTGATGGTCAACGGAGAGGGACCTGATCATGGGAATGGTCTCCCATCTTATTCTCAAGCCCTGACCATACTCCAGGGGAGGGGGTCCTGGAGGGCGTGCACCGAAGGACGCAGGGAACTTGGGGCCAGTCTGGAATCCTGCCTTGTACTGTGTCGTAACTCCCCGCCCATCAGCACACACCTACCCGCCCGCTGTGTCAAGGAGCCCCAGCCTCCAAAGTAAACATCCGCACCTTCCTCCAGCCCTATGCCTTTAAAAATGCTATTTTACAGGAGGAATTAATCACTAGTGGGAGAGTTTCAGAGAGCGTAATGAGCACTTGCGTCTGTATTATCAATGCTGAGCACCACGCCTGGCACTTAGGGGGTCCTCAATTAATGTTCCTCAGTGAATGTCTGGGTGAATGATAAGTGAGAAATACCTGGGGCATCCTCGTCAGATTACACCCACGGAAAAACGCCTGCCCCCACGCGCAGAGTGCAGTCCTCCTTTTCGTTCACATCACCTTTCCCCCGATTTAAAAGGAATGCATGCGTATCATAAAACACTCGGGGATTTTTCTTCCTTCTATGATTTTATTTCTTACATTTAACTTTTTAATCCATCTAGAACTAATTTTCCAATATGACGTATAAAATATTCCACCCCATACCCAATTAGTCTGTAATGCTTTTAAAAATATATATTAAGTTCTCATGTATAATAAGCTCTATTTGTGAGCTCTCTGTTCTATATCATCGATCTGCCCATTCAGTTTGTGTGTCAGTATCACCTGTTTTAATTACTGGAATGTCATAATGTCTTTCAGGCCCTGGTAGGGCAGGCGTCGCCTCGTTATTCTTCTTTCAGCCCCTCTCTCTGCCAGCCCATTAGGCGCGTATGTCTGCTCCCCGCTCTGGCTCCTCAGCTGGCACCGCGCGCTTTGGCTACGGCTGGACACGGAGCCCGATCTAGGTTCCTGTTCTCCATCTGCATCTACCCAGCTGAGCCCCTCGGAGTCCCAGGGAAATGTAAACCCACGCTGACAGTGCCGGCAGAACTCTCGGACTGAGAGGGGCAGCAGGGCCGCTCCGAAGGCTCCCCCAGCACACAGAAGTGCTCACTCTCTCCTGAGCAGGGGAGTGAGTCTGGCCATGCAGACACTCACGTTTCTGTCCCTTCGCTCTTAGGAGCAGGGACTGCCATACTTTTGAGAGCATCCTGCACAGAGACTGAGTCTTGAGCCCTCGGACGCGGGCCAACCTTTAGGTTTGGGGTGTCCAGGACTGATCTTTGGCCCCAGGCCCTGGGCAGTCTCTTCGGGGCTCACACTGGTCCAACGAGCATCTGGTGGTTTTGTTGACCTGGGGCCATCCCGGAATGTACTGGGGCCTCCAGAAGGGGATGTGCACCACGCGCCGAAGCCCACTTTGCCTGTCCTCATAGGACTTGGGTCGCGCCAGGGGATTCCAACCTCTCACTTCACCCCCAGGGAGCCCACCTCTGGGTTTTGGCAGCCAGAAAGTCCTTCAAGCCACAAATTAGAGGTGCACCGGGTGGGGGTGTGTGGAAGTCACTCTGGCCCATGCTGAGGCGGTGCCGGTGAAGGGAGATGGGCGAGGCTCTGACAGCACGTGCTAGAGACGGCAGACTGGAGAAACCAGTGCAGCCGTGACTCAGTCCCCTGCTCCTGCCCTGGGGTTTACACAGGTTACAGTTACCTTAGACCAAGTGCATCCACTGGAAAGCAAAGGCTTGTGATGAGTCACAAGGAAGCCAAGAGCTGTGATGGCCAAGGTCTTCTCCCCTGGTACTTTCCCTTCTACTTAGAGAGGACAGGGCATGAATTCATTCATTCCTTCAAGAAGGGTCTCTGAAGGCCCCTGTGCACATGCAGAAGCTAGGAAAGGACACAGCCCTGTCCGCAGGGAGCTTTCCTGTTGCCGGGGAGGCGAGAGGGAACAGGGCAGGTATCCTTGCCGGCGTGGCCGGCCCTCTGCTGATGGCGATGGGACAATCTGATTTCCTGTTCTACCTCCCTCCCTGCAACATCTTCTGTAAAAGAAGGGGGTCAGATGTTCAAAGCCTGTTTATTTTCAGTGAGAGAAAAATGAGTCCAGAGAAGGGAGACAATTTGCCCAAGTTCACTCAGTTTCATAGCAGCGATGGGACGTCACTACTTCCCTACCCCACAGTTTGCCACCTGAAAAACGGGGCCGCTCTTGGCTTTACACCAAGCTCCTAGAGGCAGCACACAATCCGTGACACTATTACTGAAAGATCGTGAACATTTTTGAGAGGGGAAGCCAGAATTGGATGGTGTTAGGTCAACATTAGAAACATGGAAGCAAAACACAATAAAGTTTAAGAGCCAGACAACCTGAGCTCAAAGTCCTGCTTTCTTCACATAAAAGCTACTTGAATGTAAGCAACTTTCTTCCAAATCTCTCTGCACCTCACCTTCTCGTCTGTAAAAAGATGGCCTGTCAGGTTGTTTTGAGTTAAATGCTCAATGCCAAGAATGCAGGTGTGTCAATAGGCTAAAGGATTCCTGGCTTGAGTCCTGCTTAGCGACGTCTGATGCTCACAGGCCCGTGGTGTCAGACCTGACGTCTCTGTGTGTACTTTTCTGGTTCCAGGGGCCCCGGAGGAGCCGCACAGAGGGGGAGAGCGTGGCGAGAGAATGAAGAAACCAACCGCCTGGGAGAAGCATGAGGTGGCAGTGCGGCACTCAGCTTAGAGGGCTCCGGCCGGCGGCGGCCCCATGGGCAACCCTGCTGGCACTGGGCCTCCCCGGTTGGGTGCTGGCTGTCTCGGCCACGGCCGCCGCCGTGGTCCCGGAGCAGCATGTGCCCTTGGCCGGCCAGCCGCCCCTGGACTGGCTGCTCACAGACCGGGGCCCCTTCCACCGCGCGCAGGAGTACGCTGACTTCGTGGAACGGTACCGCCAGGGGTTCACCACCAGGTACAGGATCTACAGGTGAGTGGAGACGCCCGGCCCGAGACTGGGGCTTCCCTCAGCAAAGACCCCGCCAGGGGGCCGCTCAGCCAGCGGGCACGCCCGCAAGGTTGAAATGGAGGTGAGAGCTGGAGGGGCAAGCAGCGGGCAGGAAAAAGAAGCCTACCATGTTGGCGTTTAAAAAAAGAAAGGAGAAAACATACAGGCTGGAAGACCTGCTGATGCCTCCTGGGGAACTTAGCAAAAGGGTTTCTATTTATAGGCTGTGCTGCTTATAAATTGAGGACAAATGAGGCGGCATCGAGTCAGCGTGTAGCCAGTGCTGCGGCAGGGGGTTGGAGTCAAACGCTGGGGCCGGGATTTTAACTAATGGGTTAGATACTTTTATGAGTTGTAATTACCCAGACATGCAAATGCAGGCAGAATGATCCCGGCTCCTGCTCTGGAGGTCTGGGCAGCTCTGCGGGGTCAGGGACGAGGCGGCCCTCGCCCTTGTCAGCGCCACCACTGGCGCTGTAAGTGCTTGGCCCCTCGGACCTCAGACCGTCCTCAGCAGCATCAGAGAGAGCTCAAAGTCAGCCACGGGACCCGCCCAGTCCATGTGATGAGGGACGAAGCAGGGACATAATCTCCACTGCTGGACCAGCACTGCCAAAGCAGGGGACCCCTCAAAATCCTCACCTTGGGGCGCCCATGAGTGCATCCCTGAAGTCACACGCCCCCTCCGTCCCTCTGGCCACTAGCCCTCTCCTCCTCAGCCCCCTGCCTCTTGACTACGCCTTAGTCTTCAAAGGAGCCTGGGAGTTGCTGAATTTTTTTTCCCTCTTATCAAGGACATTTATGTTCCAATTACGCATTAGCTCATATTGCAAAATATGAGAGAAAATAGGAAGAAAGCACAAGGAGAAACAAAACCAGAAAACCAACTATTCCTTTAGCATCCAGACTAGGTTGCTGTTGTTAATTAACAGTGTGGCACCTGGCATGTCTAGTCAAATGAACATACTCAAGTGTTTGGGCCACTTGCTAGATCTAGCACTTACATACGGTAACTCATTTAATCCTTATAGCAGCTCTATGCTGGAAGAACAATTCTTTTCCCTTTTTACAAATGAGAAAAGTAAGGTCCAGAGAAGTTAGGGAACTTGCCAAAGGATGCATGGCTAGTACATGGTGAGCCAAGATTAGTTCCCTAGTAGTCAGACTCCAGAATCTGGGTCCTGAAAATATATTTAGATGTATTTCTATTTCTGAGACTTTTTTTTTTCAACTTCTGCAATTACCATGGCATCTGTGTGGGTTAGTATGGGGTCTCAGAAATAAACACTGCTATTCGGCACTGGAAGATTCCCACATGGTGAGAGCAGCCATTTACGGAGGCCTGTCCCCTGGCCCGTGCATCCCACAGGCACATGTGCATGAAGGGACACGATCAGAAGCTTGAGGGACTGGTACTTCCTGGGTGAAGAAGTACACGGGATCGCAAGGAGCACGCGCCCAGCTCGCCTAGGTCCAGTGCTTCCACCCAGTCCGGTCTTGGGAGGGACTGGCGTTCCCGGCCTCTCTGTGAGTGGCTCTGGTCCTTGTGACCCTCCCAAGATTACACTGGAAATCCCCGCAGGGCCCCAGAGGCTGCGAGTGGCTGAGGGCGCACCTGCTCGGGTGACAGCAGTGAGCAGGAGGGCTTACCCTCACCTTCAGCAAAACTGTGAGAGACTAGACATATGTGCCCCCTCGAATGTCTATAAGGTAAATTCAGGGTGAGGCTTCTCTTTATGAAAGGACTTATATTTCCATCCCTCTGAGAGAGAGAGCATTGAGAGGGATAAGAAAGAGAGAGAATCCGTCTTTGAATGTGTTTAAGCAGCAAATTCCTCCAGCCCAAGAAAATAAGATTTAATGTACCTTAAACTTTTCAGTTTTCCCCAAATCTTTCAGGAGCACTGTTGTCACCAAAACTATATTTTTAAAACGTGTATTGGAATTGAAATGTCAGGCTGGGAATCCCACACCACCACCCACGTCAAAGGGCTGTAGGAACTAGGGGGAATCAACCATCAACTTCCCTCTTCGATAGAGTTTTCTTCTCATCAAGCCCCAGCCCCCAGCCTGGCCGCCAGGGAGGCCTGGCGGCAGGTCTGAGCGGCCCGCGGAGAGGAGGGTGTGTAATCACTTCTGCATGATCAACCGGCCTATCAGCAGGTAACGGTTTTCTGATCATTTAATGTGACAAGCTCTCACACTGTGCCATTCTGCTTCTCCGGGGTCAGTTATGGCACATGAACCTGTACGTGGGGAAACAATAACCAGTCATTCTGACAGGCGTGCAGCGTTCTGATTTGTGGCCCTGTGGTGGGGGATGAAAGAGTGGTCACACATGGCTGCTCCAGGAGCATTCTGGGAGTTTTGCCTTCAGTTGTTAAGCAACGTGGTGGACCCGTGGACACTTGTTATAGGGGTCTATGTTATCCCTGTGGAATTCACTCTTGTCCCTTGTCCTTTGGTCTCCTTTACTCCCTCTGGCAAATTCAAGAACTTGCTTCCTCTGACAAAAGCAGGTCACGAAAACCCAGTGACTCCAAGGGCATTTCATCCAGAAGGGCAGAGAGAGAAAAAGCTTGCAGAGAGCGTCAGAAACACGCTGGGGTGCAATACGCAGCATCAAACCGAACTAGTCTTTCACTCACTTCTTTAAGAAAGCTCTTGGTCCTTAGAAAACAAGTGGTGTCCATGGGTGTGCTGCACCTAAGAGGCGGTGCACTGGGATGGGGAAGAGGAAGAGTTTCCCAGGGCAGCGACGTCTGCTGCAGAATGACAGGAAGCTCTCTTGCACCAGGAGCGAGACCCTCCTTCCCCTCTCCCTGCGTGAACAGATAAGAACTAGTCCACGGCGAGGGGCTAACAGTAAGCTCTGATTCCCACATGTTCTTGTTTGGATATCGGCGTGCACTCTCACTTTGAGGGGGTGACTGGTTGTTCTAGAATAGCTCTGACCTCTCTAACCATGGACCGCCAGAGCTGGCTACGCTCTCCATTTCAAGTTTCTTTTCAGGCAGGCATATGGGCTGCAGAATGAAGGCTTTGGACCAGCTGACCTGGCTCCTAAGCCTGGGGCTGCTGCTTCCTAGCTGTGTAATGTTGGGCAAATTACTTGATTTCATGGGTCCCCAATTTCCTTCTCTGTAAAATCAGGACAAAAATAGCGCCCACCTAATAAATTAATGTGAAAAGTAAATGTGTTAGTTGATGTAAAGCACTTAGAACCATGCTTAATAAATACTCCCTATCATTATTAGATTGTCCTCCACAAACTTTAGCCAACGCAAGAACGGGGACAAGATGGGGACCCCGGGTGCCATCTTTGTGATGTCTGCTGAGGGCTCAGCATTCAGCAACTTATATAAGAAAAAGAAAAATGGTTTTTTTTTTCCTTTTAAATAGCATATTAACCTTTGACCTTCCCCCAATTTCTCTGCTGGGAGAGGAACTCAATTGAAGAATGGGTGGGTCTCCTTTGGCCTCATTCTTCTAGGTCTTGTGGGGTTAGCACAGGGAGCTAGGTGGTTTCCAGCATGTTTCCCCTAAAGTCAGGGATCGCCGACTGAGCAGGCCTCCCTTAGGAGGTCCTACAGAAGCCAGTCCCTGCCAGCTCCTGGACCTCTGGATGGCACCGTTAGAGAACAAAGACAATGTGTCCTCTTGTTAAACCTTCTTACATAACAGGATGGCTCGATCATCTCACCCAATTTTTGGCAAGCTTTTACATTTCACTAACCAACCTCTCCGCGTGTCCTCAAGCCCTGGCAGACCAACAGCTGAGCAATCAGCCCGCTTCTCCTGTCTCGTAACAGGCTAATGGCAAGAGCCATCAGAGCAGAGATCCCGTCTCCCATTCCATCTGTGACCCCCAACCCTCCTCCCGTGCTTCCCTCCATAGCTCCTACTACAATAAACACTCGGCGATCAACCTCTCTCAGCAGCCCCGGGAGGCACATGGAGGCCATTAGGGTCCGAGGCAATAGACGGACTTACCTGTTCAAGGTCAGAGAGGTAGAGTATCACAGCCAGAAATAGAATTCAGGGCTCCTGACTTGAAGTCTGCTGCTCATTACTCTAGACCACGCCACTTCCCTTTGACTGGTAAGTGCATCTTCATCATGACACACAACCTAATCAGGCACCTAAATTGAGCTGATGCAAATGTAAATATGGTTTCTCGAAACACTCTAGCAGTAATGTTCCATTCTCTCTTTGCTACAAATCAAAGTAATGAGCAGTCTGGTTTTTTTTTTAATTTCTTTTTGTATTAAGGCTTTAATAGAAAGATAATCATGGGATTGGAAAAAATCCAAGCCACTACGATGAAACACTTAAAACTCAGAAAGAATAAATTAAAATTAGAAGAGAAAATTAGAAATCATACAGAACAATGAGTATAACAGGGTGGTTGGGAGGAAGGTAAGGCCAGGTATAATTCCAAATTATTGACCTTAGTCCCTATCACCTCCATTTCTAGCTGCCTATTTTTCTTTCTTTCTTTCTTTCTTTCTTTTTTTTTTTTTTAAAGAAAGGAAGGACCTGGGGATACAGCGGAAGTCTTTTGAGAGGAAAATAAACAAAAATATAGTGTATATATCTCTCTTCAGTGACAAAAAAGGACATTATATTCTCATCCTGTTCTGGACAAAGTTTGTACACTCTGAGAACCAGAGTAGAACAAAGCTGAAAACCAAGATGGTGGCGCGGCACCCAGAGCCAGGCAGTGCTGAGGCAGGCGCGCATTTTGGCAGGTGCGCGTTTTAGCAGGTGCGCCTGCACACGTCCCTGGGGCCAGGATCAGGTGATACGGTGAGCAAGGGTACTGAACTCAACAAAGAAGTTTTCAGCAGGCACCAGTGCAAGAACGCTTAGAAAAGGAAATCTGTTTGCAATGAATTCATCAGGATGAAAAATAAGGTATGGTCTAGCTAGCATGTGAGGGAGTGAGAAATAGGAAAAAGCAAGCATCTGACCCAGGCTGC